GTGATTACGACTGCTTAACTAACTAGGTGTCATCCAAGAACCACCGAACGTAACACGGCAGCGTGGATGCTTAACTACGAACCTTCAGTTTAACAAGTAAACTTAAACAGTCACAGAATGTCAGCACCCCATGTCGCGTGAAGAATTCTGTAGTCTAATAATTTTAAGGAATTACCTACCGTCAAAATATTATTATGTGATCTGACTTGAAATTGTATTCAAATGATCACAGACAATTACACATCTTCTGGACTCTGATACGGAGCGCCGATGCAAACATTTCATTCAGTCAATCAGATTTTTATATTTTGCAAACGCTGGGTTGAATTGATGATAGGGGACGCCCGAACTAGTCACGAGTGTCACTTGTCATACACAGTTAAAACAACGCGTTACCAATATTGTGTACTTGTAGTTTCCTCACTTTCATGTATCGTGCAATTGTGGCTAGCCCAAAGAATAGAGCTAAAACTAGATTGGGTGTTTAGAAGAGCCTCATATTTCAAAACGTTACATGCCATCGGTACACAGTAGTAGTTTTGGATGGCGAAAGTTAACATCAAATGTAACAGTAAACGTCATCCATCGAAACTGATATTTGAAAGGCAAACAAATATTATAAGTGTAGTAGTGTTGATAAAGGAATAACACTCCAGGGGAGGGAAGTAAAGTATACTTTATGTACTTTCAAAAAGTAGAAAAAGCGTTTGTTCACCTCCATGAAAACGGCTGTAAAACAGACGAACAAGAATACACAGTAAAGGACTGTTTATATCAGTTCGAAATGATGGGAAAACCAGAAAGAGAGAAAACGAAGAAATAGAATTGCCATCGGATCGAGTCCCAGTGGTTAATGATCTACGAGCTTGCCTTGTAACCGGAAGGTCCTGGGGTTCGAACCTCGGCTGGTGTGTACTACTGAAGAGTCCCCAACCAGGGCAAAGCAAATGCCCAGTACTCCCAGCTGGTTTTCTGATGGTTCTCTAACCTATGTCAGCTCGTGATGAAATCCTGAAACCAACCAAATCCCTGTAAACCAACAATTGAATAATTGTTAAGTGTTGATTTACAGAACTGATATCAAGTTTGATCATAACTGACCAGTTAGAGAATCATTGAAAACTCAGGAGCACTGAACAGCACCCTCGTTTTAATTTTTTTTTATTAATCTAGTGCTCACTAGTGACTGACTACACGATGAAGTCGCGTGGAGTTCTGGCGAGAAAGTCTTAACAACAAGCGTCTACCTGGTCGGGTGTGATGACAAATACTCGCCGATAACATTGGTTGGCGGTTGAGTTATATTTCGTGAACTGATAGGATTTAGAGTTGATGGCCCACCAGGTTCTATTCTACTGGTTAAATAGTTCGCCTTGAAACCTGAGGGTCCTGGGTCCGATCCTTGATGGGGTCATTCGTGTTTATTGCCTAAGAGTTCCAAATACGGACGAACAGTCGTTCAGTACTTCCTGGTTTACAATCGTTCTTAAACTGATGTCAGCTCCTAATCACACTTGGAGTATTTGTTGTGATAAAAAATAGACAGAGGTAAAAAAAATAATAATAAAATATATAATATAACAATTTAGTTGAACCCATTTGAGTTGCCAAGGTTAATTCTAAACTGTCGACTGGTTTTCTTGCTTGTAATTCCCAGCGTTAACTGTATATCGGATTTTATCAACAGCCGACATAAGTTAGACAACCCTTGAAAGCTAGGGACTACTGAACCTCTACAGTACGAACCCAGGGCCTCCAGATTACAAGGCGAACTCTTTAACTACGCAGCCACTAGATGGAATCCATTGACTCACAAGTGAATTAATTTTTAAGTCTTGGTCAATAGTGAGTTTTGTCAGGAATTGGCATAGGTTGGAATTCATGAATATTGATACTATCACAGTGAATGAGTGACAATGTGGTCGCCTCTTGACCTGAAAGTACCAAGTTCATTCCGTGTTGAAACCATAGAGGCGTACTGCTGGAGAGTCCAGAAATCAGACAAAACAGATGTCTAGTAATCCCTGGTTTTCAATGATCCTCTAAATGATATTGGCTCGTGATAAAGTTCAAATTGAAATCAATTAAATCCTGTACAAATCAATTAAAACCTGTACATGACTGTTAACTTCACCTTGTTTGAAACTGATTGCGTAGTACATGAGAAGTAACATAAGTCAAATAATTGTAATCTTTGAGGATTTCCTGTTCGTCAGTATTAAAAAGCACTTACCATGATAATTACCATTTATGGTAATTACTCATAACAGACTGTTGCACTGGCTGGCTGAGTTCCACTATAGAACACAGGTCAAGTTAAAAGGCTATAGTAAAGGTCAAAATAACAATGGAATATATAATACTACATCTGTCCTGGTATTAAAACAAAGTTTACCAAGGAATGTTTAATGTGATGACAAATTATTCAAGGGTGATACACCTAGGGAAAGAATTACGAAGAAGTTAAGGAAATCATTCAAAGAACTTTTAATGTTGGCAAACCACAAGTCTTGTTTTCTACACGACCGATGGTGATTCTTCAATTTAAAGATGAAGTACCTAGACTATCCACTTGTAATTGTAGCATGAATATCAGTGGAATCGCTGTAACCAAAAAATTTAAAAAAAATTGTATCTACTAATTTAACTGCGCTCGTGGTGGAGAGTTATATTGGCCGTTACTCTAGGAACTTGATTCTTTGTGCTCACTCGGGAACATCTACCAGTGTGGTTAAATAAAGGTGTAGTGAGAAGTATCAATAGCTCGATATTAGAACACCTGGTCCAAAATGATTACAAAGATGAAATTGAAGAGTTCTTCACCAACTATCGAGTACCAAACAAATTACCATAAACACAGAGGAACCCTATACTCCAAACAACAGAGGCTATGGCGATTTGCCTTAAACAACCAGTGTTTTGTGTGCAGAAGAAGCAAGTCCAGCCACTACTGCTGCCCTAGGCAGCCTTCAGTGGAGACTACAGATTCATAAATTTGTATTATTATTTTTCCCTAACTTTTTTGATATTCAGTGTATTATTATATTGATGCTAATGAACTTAATCCATTGACATTACTGATTCGATTTTATTTAAACAACATTAATGTTGATAATAACACTAATTCACCCAGTATTATGGATGCATATAACTGTAGAACCTGATGAAGAAGAGCTTATCGAAAAGAATATTCTTTATTCATTAACCATTCTTTTGAAAAATTCTATAATTTAAATCAACTGAAGTAACATAACTAAACTTGAACAACTTATCGCCACAGATTCTTTTTCATTTTACTCATGTTTTCTCTCATGCTAAGAATTGCTTAAATAGTGCATTATTTTTTGCCGAAATGATTCATGAAAACTGTCGCACTCATTATTCGCATAAAGTACCCATCAACATTAAAGATTTGAGGAACTTATACTTTTCAAATGTTCACTACCTTTTCTTTCAGATGTCATTATTATGGTGTCTATTAAACGTGACTAGTATACACCTGTATTTTCTTAGCCTTGACCTGAGAATGATTTAATGTTGTGTTGCAATACTAGGTGCAACGCATTTATTTGAATCTAAGTTTTATGGAGATTATCATGACGAAATCGGTTGTCGACAACACAATACAATCCATACTTTCTTAGGTAACTTGCCACAGGACGGAGTTTCATGGAGTTCTAGTGAGAAGTAGTGACCAGTGAGGTTCACCTAGTTAGGAGTGAGGATGGAGTTCCCGCCGATGGCATTGGTTGGTAGTCGCGTTAAAAATCACGAATTGGTAGAAGTTAGAATTCATGGGCTGGCCATTGAATCGGGTCCAAGTGGCTGAATGGTATACGAGGTTGTCTTGTAACCGGAAGGTCCTGGGTTCGAACCCCAGTGCGCGTACTGCCGATGATTCCCAAACTGGGATGAAATATTTGCCTAGTACTACCTGGTTTTCAATGGCCGTCTAATTGGCATCAATCCATAGTCAAACTCGAAAAATAAATCAAATCCTCACAACTGTTGAAAATAATAAACCTTACGAATTTGTTTTTTAATATCGCTTAGTTCTTCCTGTCATCTTACCATATGATGAACAGAAAGTTTACTCAAATCCCTTTTATGGAAATAAAACTCTGTCAGTAGACCGCTGGTATGAGACAGCAAAATTTCAGTAAGTCATACAGACAAGTTAGAATTTTAAACAATGACGTGTAGTTGAATCCCCCGAATTTGTGTATCGTGGTTTATTAAGGTGCCTGTCTCCCAACTTCTCTGGTAGGCTCTTTATGTTTACCAATCCCAATGTTAAATATTTCAGGCAATTGTTTAGCTTTTTTACGAGTTGATCACGGACTGATATCAGTTAGAGAACTATTGAAAACCAGGGAGTAATGGACACCTGTTTCATACTAGTTTGGAACCCATCGGCAGTACGCACCCACTGAGGTTCGAACCCAAGACCTTCCGGTTACAAGTCAACCTCGTTTACCATTCAGCTACAGGTACCCGATTCAATGGCCAGCCCATGAATTCTAACTTCTACCAATTCGTGACTTAGCACGACTCTAACCAATGTCGAACCCCAGTGGGTGAGTACTGCCGATAATTCCCAAACTAGGATGAAACGGCTGTCCAGTACTCTCTGCTTTTTAATGGTTCTATAACTGATATCAATCTGTGATCATCTCGTTAAAAACAAAACTAATCTTTACCAACCAACTATAGAAAATTTGTTTTAGCCTTATTATTTTAGTGGGAAAACGACACATAAAATTGACAAATGTAATCCTTGGTGTCATCTATGTACACTTGGTAGCATCGAAGTACTCGAAAGAAAAGTGTGGTCTCTACTACATCGGTGATGTATACAAATTTGCAGTTACCCACATGGAGAAGCGAAACTAGGTCTTTACCGCAATTGTCTTTGAAAGCCACATACAAATACGCGAACTGTGAAAATTACCGTAATAATACATCCAGCGAACACAAAAGAAATGATAGAGAACTCCAGTTTCCTTTTTTTGTACTAACAACTAGTACGCTACTTTATATAAGAAAAATATAAAAAAAACACCCAAAAGGAACTGAAGAAATACAAAAGTTATATTTTATTTTTGTACATCTGAATGGGGAAGCAGAAAACCAACATTCATTGCGCAGTATTGTTCAATGAAGATGTATCTAAACGACGTCTTTTAGGTTTCGTATGAGCAGATTTCCATAAGGCATGTTTAACAATTCTTGTTGTAGCTTCTTTATCCAATTTTAAGCGTGCAGTGGTCTCTTTCTCGACTAAAGATCTACACCTTTTCAGTGCTGCCATTACACGATCCTATGGAGAAAAAAAATACAATTTTGGACACAAGAAGTAGTAAAGTGAATCTGATAGAATAATAACTATACTCTTCCTTCAGGACAACTTTTAACTGCATTTTGATCCGGTGAAAGTTAAAGTAACGCATACTAGAGGAGCTAACTTCCGTCTAATGAATTATTGGTTTGAGCATCCAGGGTACTTAGTAAACATTTACATTTATATAACATGGCAAAGTTGAACTATGATAGCCAAAACCACAGTGATTTTGAATGACCAATCAGAACCCAGGTGCAAAAAAGCAGCATTATCGTTGAAAAATGCACTAAAAACATTGTAAACATGAGTTTACACTGTATGATTGTCGCCTATGTGTTGTAAGAATGTCTCTGAGTCGCTACACAGATGGTCTTTGGAGAAATCATGCAATGACCAATAGATGTGTTCGTTCAGGTGATTGTACATCACGGTACTTTGATATCTGTTGATACTTCTGAGACTATTATTTAACCTACCCCTAACTTTGACCGTGATCTTAACTTCTAATCCTAACTTTGATCCTATTCCTAACCTGAACCCTAAACCTTAATCTAAAGAGTCATAACCCTACCTAACGGTCTAGATTCACAGAAAAAGTACCTAGAGGCTAGGTAGAATATTGTATCTACCTTCTTCAAGTCCAAAGAGGCAGGCATGATTTGATTAGGAATGACATTTCATACCACTCCCTATATCTGATTGGTTAGCGAAGGTGAACTTTTGACAGACCTTTACTTTGGCTAAGATACTTTAACTTCTACGGCGGCCTGCTTGAACATAGGGCTACCAAAAATTCCACCTTACAACATTTTGCAAAATTGCTTTGGTTTGCTCTTTTAATTTTGTTTTAATTTATCAATAATGTGTCCTAATCGTATTATATATAATCGCGCATTTTTAAAATCATTACAACCTACCGCGTTGTGTCATCCACAAAAATTGAGAAAAAAGCATCACTGTGGCTGGCAGCGTGCACTGAAACGTACACAAATTAATCAAATGACTGTTCCTGAACTCGTTAGCACTAATTGTAGATCCCTGTCCAACAAAATGGATTACCTTCAATCCCTAATGTATTCCAATGTTTATCGAAATGCTGGCGTTTTAGCAATACAAGAGACTTGGCTGCACCAGCATTATGATGATAATCTAATTTCAATAAATGGATATAAAGTTTTTCGCCAAGATAGAAATAGTTCCAAGAAAAAATATGGAGGAGGGGTAGCCACATATATAAACACAAATTGGTCTACATCAAATCACGTTTGCTTCAATTATTCTAATGACAATATAGATTGCATAACCGTCAGGTGTCGCCCAAAACACTTAAGTAAATATTCTTATATATACATAACAAATATTTACATAACACCCGATTGTAGCCTTTCTAATATAGTTATGTTTGCAGATGAGTTTACTGAATTCGCTGCTCCTGCATTCGGAAACTCGTTGTCTATAGTCTGTGGTGATTTTAATTTATGTGATCACAGCTTTCTTACTTCGCTTGGTCATGAGAATCTAGTCAAGTTTAATACACGTCTGGACAAATCACTAGACCTGGTTTTCATAAATGACCGTGATGTATATGAAACCCGAAGGAGAGCTCCTTTGCTAAATTCTGACCACTGCATTATTCGTATTTTACCGAAAGTGTACGGCAAGTCACAACGAAAATTGTTTAGTCATTTAACAAAGAAGATACATGAACGTTCATATTCCCATGACAACATTCTAGCATTAAGAAGCATGTTGCATGATACCAACTGGGAACTGTTTACTGACGATAAGTTGGATGCTACTGTCTCTAATATAACCGATTATCTGAAGTTTTGTTTGGATATTTGCTGTCCTTATGAAACACTGTTTTCGAGATTTGACAGAATCTCTTCTTTGCAACTGAAAAAACTTAGAAGACAAAAAGAGAAGTTGTATAAGAATTGTGATAATACTGGTGTCCGTAAAATAAACACCCTTATAAAAATTGAAATAGAAAGGTTGAACAGACTATATAATGAAAAATTTTTATCATGTAAAAATCCTTCAAACATTTGGAAACTTTTCAATAAACTAACAAGTAAAAAACAAATGTCCGTTGATGCTTATTCTGATGTAAATGCTTTAAACAAATCATTTATCAAGAAACAAATTAATATGGTTGTACCTGATGTACCTAGTCAAGAAAATGGTCATTTTCAGGGTTTTGAAGAAAAGGATGTACTATTATGTTTGAAGTCATTAAATCCAACACACAGCCTTGGTCCAGATGGTGTACCAAGCATTCTTCTCCAAAAGTGTGCAGACATCTTGTGTCATCCTCTTACTCAAATCTTTAACGCATCATTTAAGAGGGAAACGGTACCTGCTGACTGGAAAGAAATCAAGGTTGTACCTGTACAGAAATCATCTTCTGGAGCAGGTATAAAATTTAGACCAGTCGCTATAACATCTCCTTTTTTGAAAACTATGGAGAAACTTCTTTTGAATATTCTTAAACCTTCTTTAAAAGCTTTTAGTGACCCTAAGCAGTTTGCTTATAAGTGTGGAAGAAGTACATTAGATGCAGCCATTGTACTACACCACAATATTGTTTCCTGCCTTGATAAGGGTGCTAAGTTCGTTCGAACAGCTTTCTTAGACTATACTGCAGCTTTCGACTCTGTTCCTAGGACACTTTTATTAGGAAAGATGATTTCAGCACAAACAGAGTCCTGGGCAACTAGATGGCTGTCTTCTTATTTTAAGGATAGGAAACAGCATACTGTTTTGGCTGGAAAGCGCTCCACTTCCCAGCTAACTGAAAGTGGTGTGCCTCAAGGTGCAGTACTTTCTCCATTTCTTTTCTCTTTCTTTCTGCATGACCTTCCGAACTCACCCAAAGTTAACTTCATTAAGTATGCTGATGACCTGACCGTTTCTGTCCCTGTAGTTTCCACATCGGATTGTTCCTATATGAATGGCTTCCTAGCTGAAGTTAAGGATTGGTCTGGCTCAAATGGTCTTAAACTAAATCCAACTAAATGTAACACTGTTGATTTCAGCTTGAGAAGTGAAAAAGACATGCATGGATTGATTCAATCTCATGATTGTTGTAATATTGATGGTACCATGATTGAGAGTAAGTCAAGTGTTTCTTATCTTGGCATTAGTTTCTCGTCAAATCTTTGCTGGTCGTCTCATATTCTTATAGTTTCTAAGAAAGTTTTCCGTCTGACTTATTACATAAAGAAGTTGAGACACTCAGGTATAACTCAATCTCTTATCATACAATTTATTAATTCATGTGTTTTGCCCATCATTCTTTATTGTTCTCCATTATTCTTCCCTGGGCTACTCAAGAAAGATCATATAATACTACTGTGGTGAGAGCAGGCTGCTAGCCGATTGGTTGGCACTAATCTACGTTAAGGTCTAGGTCACTAATATGGGCCGTGAGAAAATATGAACAAGCCTGAGTCAACAACCAATCACAGCAAAGTTAACGTGGCAGAATATGATTCGCAGAGAGAACTCTATTTGTCAAGGAATCCCGAAACAACCAATCAGAAGCCTGCGTTTGTCTACCTAAACGACCAATCAGATGACTGCGCTTGTCTATAATAATGTAGTTGAAAGATGTATAAATACGTGTTGATTTTCATAATAAGACGATCTGTTGCCTGGCCCTTGTCTTCTGTTGTTACATTTGGTGTCGCTGCCTACCGACAAATGAAAAGCCTATACCCTGCAGTTTTTGATGGAGACATATGGATCTTCGGGCAGGACTTCAAGGCTTCTGCGCAGTTGAGTGGCGTTCAAGATCTGTCAGCGATGGAGCTGCTACTTGAGACGCTGCTGGGAGGTCGGGCGAAAGCAGCATATGAAGGTGTGGGCCGAAGTATGGACGAATGTTCGACAGGGTCAGGCAAACAGTTTCCAAAGTGGGAAGGACCATATATGGTCACTTCGAGATGGGGTTACGCAGACACAGTCGCAATGGCGAACAATAAGAGGCGCGTGAACGTCAGCGAGCTCCAGAAATGGATACAGCGAGACAAGCCAACGATGACGCCTGCACCAAGTAGATCAAGCCGACTTCAGTCGCACGTATTTGACGGGGGACGAGTGTGGTGAGAGCAGGCTGCTAGCCGATTGGTTGGCACTAATCTACGTTAAGGTCTAGGTCACTAATATGGGCCGTGAGAAAATATGAACAAGCCTGAGTCAACAACCAATCACAGCAAAGTTAACGTGCAGAATATGATTCGCAGAGAGAACTCTATTTGTCAAGGAATCCCGAAACAACCAATCAGAAGCCTGCGTTTGTCTACCTAAACGACCAATCAGATGACTGCGCTTGTCTATAATAATGTAGTTGAAAGATGTATAAATACGTGTTGATTTTCATAATAAGACGATCTGTTGCCTGGCCCTTGTCTTCTGTTGTTACATTTGGTGTCGCTGCCTACCGACAAATGAAAAGCCTATACCCTGCAGTTTTTGATGGAGACATATGGATCTTCGGGCAGGACTTCAAGGCTTCTGCGCAGTTGAGTGGCGTTCAAGATCTGTCAGCGATGGAGCTGCTACTTGAGACGCTGCTGGGAGGTCGGGCGAAAGCACATATGAAGGTGTGGGCCGAAGTATGGACGAATGTTCGACAGGGTCAGGCAAACAGTTTCCAAAGTGGGAAGGACCATATATGGTCACTTCGAGATGGGGTTACGCAGACACAGTCGCAATGGCGAACAATAAGAGGCGCGTGAACGTCAGCGAGCTCCAGAAATGGATACAGCGAGACAAGCCAACGATGACGCCTGCACCAAGTAGATCAAGCCGACTTCAGTCGCACGTATTTGACGGGGGGACGAGTGTGGTGAGAGCAGGCTGCTAGCCGATTGGTTGGCACTAATCTACGTTAAGGTCTAGGTCACTAATATGGGCCGTGAGAAAATATGAACAAGCCTGAGTCAACAACCAATCACAGCAAAGTTAACGTGGCAGAATATGATTCGCAGAGAGAACTCTATTTGTCAAGGAATCCCGAAACAACCAATCAGAAGCCTGCGTTTGTCTACCTAAACGACCAATCAGATGACTGCGCTTGTCTATAATAATGTAGTTGAAAGATGTATAAATACGTGTTGATTTTCATAATAAGACGATCTGTTGCCTGGCCCTTGTCTTCTGTTGTTACACTACGAAGAACATTGAGGGCTGTAAGTAGGGTCAGTGCTATCCCTTTGACTGAACTAAATGACACTGTTGTCAATAGGCATATGAATTCTTGTAAACACTTAGCTAAAGTTATCTTATCTGATAGTGAACATCCTCTTTATTCACAATTGTTTCCTTGTATCTCTTCGGGTAAGACCAGAAATTTTATAAACATTTATGCTCGTACTACAAAATATAAAAATTCGACCGTTCCATATTTGGCACGAGTATTGTGTGAAGAGACAAATATCAGAAAAGAACTTTTACAACTTTTGAATCAATAACTAAACTATAAAATGAAATGATGCATATTAATACATGTGTTATTTGTTATATTATTTACTTATTATTCACTATGACCTAGAAATGGGATGATTTTGTTGGGTTTTTTATTTTTATTTATTTTTTTTTATTATTTTTCCTATTAACTATCAATATTTTAACATTTTATATATTTATATAATTATAAACAGAGCTAAACCATTGCAATATGTAAAAGAAACGCTGAAAATTCCATGCTGTAAATTTTTATTGTTGTGGAATAAAGTGATTATTATTATTATTATTAAAACTTCTCCGATAACATCTACTGTTTTTCTTTCTACTAGAAGGATTCAATTGGAAAGTTGTTTATGGCAATTAAAACTGTATAACTAAAAAGCACAACTCAGAAATTGCATTTCCATAGTAGGCGAACCTACAACACCTCCATAAGGCATTTCGCGAGGACAGTATGTCTGTGATAATTTTAGAGTAAAATATCTCGTTGGGTATCGAACATACAGAAGAGTTGACGCATGTGTTTAAACACTAAGCTTTTAAGAAGTAAGTCAAGAGTTTGAAACCTGCTTATAAGGTAAAAATAGCAGTAATAATGGACAGACAGCACATGTTCTTTACGATTCGATTGACGGTTGAGAATTATTAAATGTGCATTCATTCCATATCTTAATCGACAAAAATAATATAGGATTTTCGATTCACATTACAAGAGAAAAAATATGCATGAAGAGAACGAGACTTACCAATTCCTGCATAATTGGATGACTTTTAGTTTCGACACCATTACACCTAAGGTACACTACAGAGTATTAGAATAATTGTTAAATTTACCTACTAAAAAATAGTGCATTGAAGGAATAACACAATACCAGGTCATTTTTAATAGTATCTAGATCATTGGCCTTGAAAGAGAGTTATCGAGTATAAACATTATGAGGATAATACCTGACCACCAGAAGTGTCACGAAAATTGGCAACTTCTTTCACAAGCTGTTCAACATTATCAGTAGCTTCTGAGAAAGACACTAGCTGTGCACTTATCTCCTCGGGAATATCATCGAAAATACTGCTCTCAACCATTTGGAATAAGTAATATAATTATGTAAAGAATGTACAAATATCTGAAATCAAAAACAGCCAACGATGACTTATTATAAATTATTTAAGGAAACCTATAATGATGATTTAGTTTAATAAAAACAGGAACACTAAAAACTATGCTTAAATCTCAGCTGCCATAAGGAATCGGAAATCGCATTCACCGGATAGTTAGAAGTACTTTTGAGTGAAACCAGGCAGCTACAATACTTAGTGGTTGACTGTTGTATGATGGGTACCTCGAATTAGGGACATTCAGTTCCGTTCAGTTTATAAAAAAGTGCAAGTATGGTAATTGCCGGGATGAGTCGACTTTTCAAAGTTTACTGTTTATTAAGAGACATGAAAACATAGCACAATAATTACAGGTAAAAAATACCTCGTCTCAAAGAATAATGAGGCGGGAAAAAATGCCGTGAAAACTTGCACGACAACTAATTACCAGTATACACATGAGCATCAACAGGTTGATACAAAGGGATGGAATACTTGAATTTAGTTTAGATTATTATTAGTTGCATAACACCTAGAAATCTCTAACTGACATGTTTTAGTATTGAAGTGCAAGTGAAATAAAATATCTTATTGTGCATGGCAAACAGATCTACCGTTATAACACTAGCGAGCAAACGCTTTTAACGATTTCACTATAAAGGTGGAAACTTTGAGGGAACTCAGATTCTAGGGACAGGCCTCATATTATCTAAAGACCACAAGATGAACAAAGCTGGATTACATTAAGATGGGTGAGTGGAACGCATTCAACTGCAAACAGTTATTGCGAGGCACCAAGGTTAACCTATTTCGATTCTTCCAAAAACAGTCATCTTACTCACAGTACATCTGACAGCGCTATAAAAGACCAAACCATTTTTCATAATTGGAGTGAGAATACCTCGCTGAGTTCATGATACACACTATTTCTGTCCCAGAGGGACATCCCTGAAGATGCAGATTTTGGATTCCCGAGACCATACCGGCTTAAAATACGCCCGTACAGCTAAAGCTAGATATCCCAAGCTTACTATAATGCTGAATTAAATCCCACTAAATCTGAAATAATTCTAGCATTCTATAGTGAGTAAATTATGAATCTGTTCTGAAATAGATTCTTTAATGGCACAGACTAGAACTCACTGCTGGTTTTCAGCCTGACTGGAACTAATTCAGCACCGTGTTATTTTTCAAGGCATTCTCAGGAGTAGATCAGAACCTACTGGGTTTGCTTATCAGCGCTGTTCCAACCCTAACAGGACATACTTAGCATGGACAAGCGTTACTTCAGGGCGAAAAGACTTATTTCAACACCCATCCCTCTTTTTAAGCCCAACTAACGTTATTTCAGAACACAGTGGGTAGATGAAATCTTCATTTACTATAAAAAGTCATTATCGAAGAAAAGGTTAGAATAAGTCTAGAATTGTTGTATATATATCCGCTTATAAAAAGCGGACATCACCAAAAAACTTCCGAATAGACTTAAGGAAGTCCATCAGAACGAAGCGACGCCAGCACCTATATTTTCACTTCCAATAACTATTTTAAAATATATTCCCTCGTGTGATCACGTGACTTCCAGTAAGAAAATTACCAAAGAGACTCACAGGGAAATACATATTAAAATCAAAACACACTGCACAATGTAATATATGCATAGATTAATTAATGATATAACTTTTGGTTGTTATTCTGCAACACTCCAGACACCAAGCACACCAAACAACTAAAAATCAACTGGGCCCAAGGACCATTTCATCTAACCTCCCAAGGTTGCGTGTCCAATATCCAATGTATTTCAGATTCAGATTTATTGGTTGAGGGTAGAAGGCTTGCAGCCTATGTTAATCCTTTTCTAGTAGATTTCTGTGGTTGTCCAAACCCTTCTTGAACGAATCAGTTGAGGTTGCAGACACCACTTCTTCTGGGAGTCGGTTCCAAGAGTTTATGACTCGATGTGAGAACCAGTACTCAACAGCAATATGATTTCTCCTTGGCTTTTGAACTTTCCTGCTATGTCCTCTAAGGTGTTCCGACCTGGTGGGAAGGAAAAGAGAGAATAGGTCAGGTCCGTAGTCATTATTTAAAATTTTAAACATTGTGATTAAATCTCCTCTCTGCCTACGGTATGACAGTGAGAAGAGATTTAAACTATCTAGTCTTTCCTCATATGATAAGTTAGCTATGCCGTGAACCATACGTGTTGCCTTCCTTTGAACACTTTCTAGAATGTGTGAATCCCCTTTTAGACACGGACTGGCGGCCTGGATGCAGTTTTCCAGTCTTGACCTAACCAGAGATGTGTATAAGGAGGTGAACATATCTCTGGTAATTCTTGTAAAGGCTCTGCGAATCGCCCATAAGGACCTGAAACTACGTGCAGCCACCGCGCGACAGTGTGCTGTAGTTTTTAAGTCGTGGCTAACTATGACACCTAAGTCCAAGTGAGTCTGAACTGATGGAAGTGTTATTCCCTCTAGTTCGTAGGAGCTCGTGCTTGCTTGTCCAATGCGCATGGTTGCACATTTTGCCACATTGATCGGGAGCATCCATTCAACAGACCACTCCGACAATTTGTTGAGGTCCTCTTGCAACGTGGACGTATCACTGTTGCCCTTCAGCTCTCTCCAAATTTTTAAGTCATCTGCGTATAGGACCATAGGGGAGTCGGTGAGCAGAGGTAACTCATTGATATACAGAATAAAAAGGAGAGGACCGAGAACCGTGCCTTGTGGCACTCCGCTACTTACTGCTGTCCAGGAGGAGAGTTTTGAGTTGATCCTAACCCTCTGCCTCCTATCTATGAGGAATTCCCTGAGCCAGTCTAGTAGTCTGCCTTTGATACCAAGACTTTCCAATTTCATGAGTAGTCTTTTGTGAGGTACTTTATCAAAGGCTTTACTGAAGTCTATGAAGACGACGTCAACGGGTCTTCTGTTGTCCTTTGATTTGACCCAGCTTTCTCTTGCAGTCAGGAGATTTGACAGGCATGAGAGGTTCCTCCGGAAGCCATGCTGTGCTCCAGATAACAAGCTGCTATTTTCCAGATAAGCCATGATGCTTTTCTTGATAATTCTTTCCAGTGTCTTGATTAAAGTGCTGGTGAGACTGATAGGCCTGTAATTTGAAGGGCTTTGTCTTGATCCTCCTTTGTGTATGGGGGTTACTATGGCGTCTTTCCAATCACGTGGCAACACTCCATTTAGGAGAGATAGCTTGAAGATCGTGGTCAAGGGGCCGGCTATGTGGGCTGATAGCTCCTTGAGAAGCCTTGGATGAAGATTGTCAGGACCCATTGATTTTCCTGCATCTAGTTTCATTAAGAAGTTGAGCACGATGCCTTGGTCGATGTCAACGGAATCTATCCCATGTTCTTCTGATGCAGCCAGAGCTGATCCTATAGGCAGTGATGACTCCTGAGTGAAGACTTGGGAGAAGTAGTTTGCCATTGCTTCTGCTTTTTCTTGATCTTCTTCGATTGTATCTTTGTCAATAATCAGGTTTGGGACACCATTGGGTGTTTTATTCCTGAAATTCAAGTACGAGAAAATTTTCTTAGGTTGTGCCTTTGCATTTTGAGCCAGGTGTGTCTCGAACTTCATCCTTGATTGGCGGATTTCTGCGATAGCTTTATTTCTAGCAGTATTATATAATTCCCTGGTCTCAGAAGTCTCAAGTGTGGCAAACAGGTTCCAACATTTGCGTTTACGTCTGAGTAACTTACGAATCTCCCGGTTTATCCAAGGGGGGAATGTTTCCGACCCTTTGGAACAGACCAAGGGATGAAAGGTACAGTTACTTGGGCGTAAAGTTGAGATACATATTCGACTAAGGGTAAGAGATAAGGAGTTTGTATCAGCTATTTCACTGAGCATCTTTTTCTTGGATGGGTTAATTTGAGTTTCAGACACTATATCTCCCAGGAGTCACATCCAAGTTGCAGTCACTTGGTGAGAGAACCATCACACTGTCAAATAAAGTATAATTATATTTCAATAGTTTACACACAATGATAAGTTTTGTTATTGGTAATTTTGCTCGAAATATTACCAATAACAAAACTTATCATTATGTGTAAACTATTGAAATATAATTATACTTTATTTGATCTAATCCACAATGCTCAAACTTTTTGCTAACATCACGCTGTCGTCCAGTATCCAATATCCTGATTACCAGCTAGTATAAACCAGTGATTTCTTTGAGCTCGCTTCTTGATTTTAAGGTAGAGGTTCCAGATCTTCGGTGAACTTCTGCGTAGTAAGTCCCGCCACTCGACTGCCTTAGCTCTGATAGACTCCAAGAGGAGTGGTGCGGGGATTGGTCAAGATGTGGTTTGTAGTATGCAGTATGTTAGGACCGTGTTGCTGCCGTGAATGGGGTTTGACCTAACTCCCGTTGGTCATTCGGTGTAGTCATAAAAGCAGAATAGTAATAATAATAATAGGTCGTAGTGTAGATAATATGGGTTGAGATAAGTGAAATAATAAAGGTGACCTAAGGAAAAGATAGAGTAGTCGGTACAGTGAGAGAAGGCAGAACAGGTCGTGGGGATTTAGTTTGTATGCTTATCCATTGACAGTGTGGTTTCAAGTTTTATGAGGATAAGCCATTGAGACACAAACCTTGCATTTCTGCATGATTGTCTAGCTTCCGCTTAAAAATCTCCAGAGATGGCGCTGTAGTCACGGCCGCCGGTAAAGCGTTCCAGAGACGGCAAACACGAAGCGAAAAGAAATGTGATCGCACTCGAGTCTTTGGTCTCTGGTGTGCTATCCTTAGCGGGTTACCTCGTGGAAGCCTATAATCACTTAATGGCAGGATGCTTTTATTTGGGTGGGCCTGGTCATTTAGGATCTGGTAGACGGTGATGAGGTCTCCCCTGTGCCTTCGGTAACTAAGTGTGAAAAGACCTAATTTCTTTAGTCTTTCCTCATATGATTTGTTGCGGAGGCCGATCACCCATTTTGTCGCTCGTCTCTGGACACTTTCTAGAATGTTAGCATCCCTTTTGAGTAGCGGAGGTGCAATGATATTATGCACCTCAAGGTGTGGCCTCACATATGCCTTATATAACCTTAAGAACAGTTCGGGAGTGAGAGCTCCCAGCTGCCTATGCATAAAGTGTAAAGTTGCGTAGGCTTTGGCGACGTCCCTCGAGTAATTTCCACTGGTGTCTAGCTTTTCTGTTAGAATAAGACCTAGATCGCGCTCTGATGGAACACAACTCAAGTTCTGGCCACCAAGGGTGTAATTTACACTCTGTGACCTGCCGGAATGAAGTTGCACTACTTTGCACTTCTTTAGATTGAAAGGCATTCCGTTAGCCAGAGCCCAGTTTCCCAGAGTTTGCAGGTCAGCCTGCAATCTATCTGAGTCTTCCGATGAGTTTATTGCTCTCCAAATCCTTACGTCGTCAGCGTAAAGAAGCGCAGAGCAGTTTAGTTGGGAGGACAGGTCGTTGATAAAAATCAAAAACATCAACGGCCCTAGGATAGAACCCTGAGGAACCCCTGATGCCGAGGTGTGCCAGGATGATCGGATGCGGTTGACTTTGGTGCAGAATTCTCTCTCGCCTAAGTAATCTGTCAGCCATGCGAGAAGTGCTCCAGAAACACCCGCCTTGCTTATTTTGTGAAGGAGCAGACCATGGTGAACTTTGTCGAATGCTTTCGCAAAGTCGAGAAAGATCACATGGACTGGTACCTTTTCGTTCCAGGATAGTGTCCAATCGTTCCAAGCTAGTAGAAGGTTCTTCACGCAGGATCTTCCCCTCCTGAAACCGTGCTGTGCTTCATGGAGTGGGTTGGTCCCGTCGAAGTATTTTCTCATGTGGTTGTCAATGAGACTTTCCAATATCTTCGATATCACTGGAAGTAGAGCAACTGGTCTGTAACTGGTCGCATTCTGCCGGTCACCACCCTTGAAGATGGGGGATAGGATTGCTTAGGGGTTGGCGGAGACTTTCTGAACACTGCTTCAGGACGGATGGTCTGATGTCATCACAACCTGAAGACTTTCTCGAAGTCAGCTTTCCCAGTTTTACAAGTACCATAGCCGGGTAATTTGAAGTGTACCCAGCAGGTTTTCGCGCGTTGGTTTTGCATTGTAATCTTGATGTTCTGTGGGGGTAATATCCTCGTTACTGTTTAGTTGACTGTGAAAGGCTAGGCTGAATGTCTCTGCCATTTCAAGACTAGCAAGAGATTTACCATCAGAACCCACTGGATTGCAAGCACCCTGGTTGGCCGGTTTCCTTTCTTTCCCTGAAGTGTCCTTGTCAATGTAGTTGAAGATTGAACGATCAATTCATGGTTGTTTGCTCAAAACCAACTTCCCTATATTTTCGCGGAGACATCGATACACCAGTCATCGTCTCATCGGTCGCTGTTCAGAAAGAAGTCAGGAGACAACTGTCAGAAGTAATATTGTGACTTATTATTGTAATATTTGTTCATAGACCTTAGTTAAAATTTAATTTTAAAGCTGCCTATATGTTGGTGTTACAATAAAGAATTCTCGAGTAGCCAATCGGTGTTTTGGTTTTGCGTCCGTTATTACTAAGCGTTTCTGAGGAACTTCAAGGAACAGCGCGAGTCCCAGTGTAGCAAGTGCTGGGCATTGACGGTTCACGAGACGTGGCTGACAGTCCTTCTATCACTCCGGACTCGTATGTTACATCGATTTCTGAGTTCAAGGTACACTTCATGTTCGGGTTGACTATTCGATCGTCGCCACACAAACCAGGCTTTTCGCTTCGCCTGCAGAAGGCGTT